AGCCACAATGCAAACACGGGTGGGGAGCGGATGGAATTTTCATCTGGCTACGCAATCCCTCTTTTTGACGATATCAATAAACACCGGGAGTTTATTCGGGAAACGTACCCCGATGTGGACGCGACCGAAGTTTTCCAGATGCATTCCAATGCGGATATTACGTACCGCACACGTCAGGCCCAGGAGGCACTCACCACCATCCTTGACATCCAGCCGCGCGACGCCGTCGTGAGCGGTGGCGTGACACGTGAAGAAAAGGTGCTGGGTATGGCAGACGGATTTTTGCGGCAGTTGCCAGAGAACTGGAGTGTGGACCGCAAGCTTCACATTGGCGATCGCCAACCACTCTCCATCTTTGCTGGACAGGAGATTGACCGCCTGAGTGTAACCATTCGCGCTATCCGGCAGACGTGTACGAACTTGAAGCTGGCGGTGGCAGGCACCATTATTCTTACGCCAGCGCTGCAGGATGCGCTGGACTACCTTTATGCCGCGCGTGTTCCACCGTCATGGGTGGCGGTTGGTTGGCCGTCGCCAAACATCTCCCTGTGGTTTACAGAGGTCCTGCGTCGCCACGAGCAGCTTGACAACTGGGCCCGCAACGGCCGGCCACCGGTGTACTGGCTACCCGGCTTCTTTAACCCGCAGGGATTCCTTACTTCTGTGCGTCAGGAGATCACTCGTAGCCACGCGAATGAGGCGGTACCGTGGGCTCTCGACAAGGTGGAGGCGCGAACGGAGGTGCGCTCCTCCGAGTTCCGCCCCAACCAAGAGCCGAAGGCGGAGGACCTCAAGACCGAGCGGGGCGAGGTTGTCATCTACGGCCTCTTTCTCGAGAGCGCCATGTGGGACAAGTCAAATAAGCGACTCAAGGACCCACCACCCGGCGATCTCTTCCGGGAGCTACCGATGCTGCTCATCTCGGCGTACAACAAGGACGCTCCGCAGCAAGCGGCAATCGCGCCCACTAAACCAGGACAAATGAAGGAGAAGCAGAAGAAGCAGGAGTACTACCGTTGTCCCGTGTACAAGTACCCGACGCGCTCCGATCTGCACTGGATCTTCGACGTGAATCTCCCCGTGGCGGAGGACGACGCGTACTGGCGCATGCGGGGTGTTGCCCTGTTGGGATCCACGGATTAGAGCACGCACACATTTAAGAGAAAAAAGAGAGAGAGAGAGAGAAGGATTTATTTAAAAAGGGAACGAAATGAAAAAAGAATAAGAATTTGACGAAATGTGCGACAATTGCTGTTCTTCTCGCACAATGTATAAAGACAATATTGGGGAGGGGGGAAAAAAAAAAAGAAAAAAGAGAGAGAAAGATTCAGTTCAAGTAAAAAAAAAAACATCGAAGAAGAGGAAATTAAAAAAAAATAAAAATTGAGGACTTTGATGTGAACGAATGCATGTAAATAACGGTCTGTAGGGCCCAATAGAGTCAACAACTCTCCAAACAAATTTTTGTGCAGTGCACATGTGTCCCTCAAGCAATTCTGCAAATGAAACCAAATGCGATGTTGCGGGGATCATACATGTATTTGTGCATCTGCGTGCATCACTATAACATAGGCTTATTGACCAATGTGTGTATGCATTGGATCCTTTTTTCTTTTTTTTTTGTGGTGATTTTGTCTTATAATTTGGGTACAACACACGGATTCAGTTGTTCTATCTCTCCTCTTTTTTGTTTTGTTTGTTCATTTGTGTGTGGTAAAGGAAAAACAAGGTTATAAATTTAGGATTGGTGGGAGGCATCATCATCATCATCATCAGGTTGGTGGCAAGATGCGCGCCTGTCGGGTGTGTCAGCGTGCACTGTGCAGCAAGGCGCTTGTGGCACCTGTGGCCGCGGATGTCATTGAGCGGGCGGGCACAAACCTTCCCGGAATTCCCCACACGTACCGCGTATGTCGCGCGTACCGTCAGTGGCTCAAACTTGCCGTTTTATGCCCGCCCTCCGCGCTGTGCGAGTTGAACGAACATGCACAAATGAACGAACGTTTTGTCATCATCATTCGGCAGAAGTTTCGCGAGGGTGCAGAGCTGCGCGATCCGGAGCAAATTGCCGTTGCCGTGCAGACTAGTGAGCGTAGTTTGGCGATGTTCCGCTTTTTGGCTGCTGATGGAGCGAAGCGGCGATTTCCGGAGGCACGGCCGCGGTTGAACCTCCACAAGATGGGCTTTCTTGAGATGGCGAAGATCAACTACACCCAGATGGCAAAGGAGTACTGGAACACATATGTGATGCGGCGCTGGTGAGGCAACCGTGTGTATATGTGGGCGGTTGGATGGGAGGAGACCAGCAGGAGGATGAGGGAGAGAAAGGAAGGAATGAGAGTGTTTTCCTCCTTACACGATGAGGAGAGAATGGGAGAGGGATTTTATGAGCCGTACACATGCAGCAGGCAAATTATTCTGCTGTTGTTGCTGTTGTTTCTTGATGTTGTTCCATATTTCTTTTTCTTTTTCTTTTTTTGCGCTACGCCCGCCATCGCGGCTTTAAGTGTCACCGAAGCAGCAGCAGCAGCGGCGCTCAGGGAGTTGTGGTGGGGAAACAAAAAAAGGTCCAAAGAAGAAAAAAAAGAGAAAGGAAGAGCATCTGGTGAAGTGGTATTGGTGCCCCATTGAATATCGCAGCATTTAAAATTTCATGTCCTTTTTGGACATGAGTCTGGACGACGTTGGCTCTTGCCGCAATGGCAGTGGCGTCGGCGACAATTTCAACGCGGATGGGTCGTCTCCTCACCCGTGCGATGTAGAAAAACGGCCATCTTTCGTACTGGCCGCCGACTCGCCGGCGAAGGAATTGCCAAGGCAGCGAGATTCACTTCACCAGGAAGACAAAGGGCCTCAAGAGGAGAACGGAGGAGAGAAGGCAGTATCACCCTCAGCGACCTGGGCCGGCACAAATCAAGAATGCACACAGACGCCGGATATATGCAGGGGGCTGCTCTTTCACCGTGGCTTGGAGTTGCTGCAGATGCAGACGGAAGTTGATCGACACACCGAAGAATGTGGGGGAAGTCTGGAAGACATGCTGGCCCCCGTCAGGCCACACCCGACCGTTGTTCGTGCTACGGGGGAGGTGGACCTTGTTCCTCACACCCCCTCTTTGTTTGGTTCTATGGCACGTGGCTCATTTTTAGAGGAGAGACGGGCGAAGGAGGATGCGGCGGCGGGTCGAAATACGCAAACACACGCCATGACGCTCCCGCCTTTGAAACAAAAATCCCAATCATCATCCATGTCGAGAATGAAAGCTAGTTTAAAGGTTCCCCCACACAAGTGGACCAAGAGTTTTTCGGAACAATACAAAAACTTGCTGCTTCAACGCGAGGAGGAGCTGCAGAAGACCGCGGAGGACTACGAGCGATACGCTGTGGAGTTGGCGAAGCAATTCAAACGACCCCCCGTTGTTCTCCCCACCCATTTAGTGAACTCCTTCGCGGACACAAACGTCATTGAGGCAAAGGATCACAAAGGACGGCGGGATATTTTCATAAAGCCGTTTTCGGCATCGAGTAGAAGCTTCAATCGCAGTGAGGATGATTTCAACGATGGCGCTTTGGAGAGTTTGCGAATGCACGAGGGTGAGGAGTCGTTTTTACAACAAAGACAACAAAAACAACAGCAACAGCGGAAGCAAAATCCAATGAATGCGTTTCCTCAGAGGGCTGTGAGCAAAGTGGAGGAAGAAAAAACCTCACGATTTACTATCCATTCGCTTTCTAACGGTGATCTTCGTGAGCGGGACGCCCTCCGTGGGCTGCGGTACTGGGATTCTGAGGCGCCTGCTGTGCGGAAACGTGTCCTACCGAGCCGACTGCTTGAAGAACGAACGAATAAGGCGTTTCATAAATATCGCTTTTACTCCCACCGTTTTGGTAAACTGTTGAAGGAACTGGCTATTGCCATTGGCGGTGAAGAGGGGGTCGAGCTGCTGCGTCGCTACGAAACACGCGAGGAATCTTTGCCACTGCCGCCAAAGTGCCGGGGGGACTTTTTTGAATCCGTTGTAGACTATGACATGTTGTTGAGGGAGCAGGAGCGTATTATGGAAGCGGCTGAGAATAACTTGAGGGAATACTATGGATATAGACTGGATAAATCTCCGGTGGCATCACAACAGCAATCTCTGCCGTTACTGCCGCATTAATTTTTGTTCTCATTGATGCTACCATTGCCAACGTGTAAACAGGCAATTTCTGTTTGGTGGTGACAGTGGCTGCCTGCCACTGTCGGCTGTTACGCGTATGTGGAATATGTATGATTATGAGAGATATCCCCTTTCTGCGCATAAGTACGTACCTTTTGTGTTGTTTTGCATAACTTTTGCTTTCATGTGATGCTGTTGTTTGTCGCCTTTGCTGCGGCTTTGACTGCACATTAATCAGTGAACGTCTCCCACTTTCCCTGGAGGCTTATTTCTTTCTGTGTTTATTTGTGTGTTAATCTTTATGTCTTTTTTTTTGTCTTTTTTTTTTTTAACTGACTGGACTTTGCCTGACAGCGTGCACGTAAGGCGGAGTAAAAAAAAATTGAACTGCGGGGCGGTCAATAGGCGCGAGAAGGGGAGTTGAAAAACGACGCGTGCAGGGAGTTGTCATTACACACATATACATATACAAATATAAACATTTATTACATTATTTTTGCATACACTCCTGCCGACGGGAGGAGGAATAATACGGAGGCATAGAGAAGGAAGAAGAAGAAGGAGGCGGAGGGGTAGAGAGAAGGATGCGTCGCACTTTATCTTGTCTGTCAACGCTTGTCAAAATAGGTCGAGGTGCAGAGAATGTGACGGAGGCAGCTAGCAACGCCCTTCTGGAATCCCTCCAAATGCATGGCTATTGCTACGTGCAGCATCCATTTATTCAGAAGGAGATTTTGGATCAGCTTCACCGTGACAGCCGCATCTTTTTTGAGCGGTACGTCACGGACACCACCGCCGCTGCTTCGAGACCGGCGACGATGACGACGCGATTTAAGCAAGACACGCACCAGCAGCCTGTTCTGCCCCTTTCGCCGTACGAGTTGGAGAGTATCAAGTCGCCCTCTGGATTCCGTGGGTACCACCGTTATGTCGGTGCCAGTGGGCTGGATGATGCCATTGAGTGTTTCTCCGTCGGTCGTGAGGTGGAGCATCCGGCACACCTGCGGGAGGCGTATTACAAACTGAGTGGGTGGAATGAAGAGGAGTACAAACCGCTCATTAGCCGACAGACGCCCTGGCAGGTGCTGCTTAGCCACCCCAGTGGCAATGCAAGCAGCCCCGGCACGGACACCTTTATGGCCGACTACCGTGAGATGATGTTGGCATACTTTGACCTCTGCGCGGAGGTGTCAATTGATGTGCTGCGACATATCAGCTGTGGATTAGGCGTCCGCCCCACGATTCCACAGGGCGGCCCAGACCCGGCGAGCGGCTACGATCTTGACTTCTTCACCCCCTTCCACAACAAACTTGACTTTGACCTGCAGGCAAAGTACTACCCACAGTTGGGACAGGTAACGCGCATGAATAATGGTGTGGAGATCAAAAACGCGCGCTCTGCCGCAAATCCGTATGGAGCAAAAGTACTGCGACGCAAAGGTGCCCTCGCGCAGCCATTGCTGAAGGAAGGCGCAGACGAGGCAAAAGGGGATGTAACCATTCGCCTTGACACACACAAAGACCTGAGCACCATCACCCTACTAGCGCAGGACGCCCTCGGTGGTCTGGAGGTTTGGGACGACGAGGATGAAAAGTACGTTGCCGTGCCTGTTCTCAATGACGCGCTGCTTGTCAACGCGGGTCTATTCTTGGAAAAGTGGACCGGTGGACTGCTAGAGGCAACACCGCACCGCGTGCGAAATGTGAAGGATGGAAGCAGTCGTTGCAGCGTTGTCTTTTTTTGTCTTCCAAACCACGACGCGAAGGTGGAGCCGCTGCTGCAGCAGGATGAGAACCCCTCGCTTGACGCCCAGGAAGGATTCTACGCCGGGGACTTGATGCCGGTATCATAATGAAAATGAGGGCACGGCATATGTCAGCATCCTCGCAGTCTCAGGACGCGGGAGATTGGCGGAGAAGAGGAGGAGGACCAGGGAAGAGGAAAAAAAAAAAAACGCAAACAAATAACGGTGGGATTTCTCTACTGAATTTTATAGAAGTTTAATAAACGAGAAGAAGAAAAAGAAGGGGGATGATTGTGAGAGGCCCGCAGGCAACACCGAGAAGGAAGGAAGGGGGTGATGTGGAGTATATATATATATATATATGTGTGTTATTTTTTTTTCGTAAGACTTTGCTGCAGGAGTAAAAAGGACAACAAAAGGAGGTTGATGAAGATGACAAACAATAACTCATGTATACATCATGTGTGCGTGTGTACAGGGAAAATGAGGAGAGCGTACCGCTCATGACGGATGCAGCCATTTGTAATGTTAACAAATTTTATAATCCAAAGAGAAAAGAAGAAAAAAAAAAAAAAAAGAGTGGGTGGATTACGAGGGGGACGAATTGAAGGCATGCGTGTGAACAGAAAATTAAATGAAAAAAGGAAAGAAGTAATATATATATACATACATGCTTGTGGTGGCTGTAATGGAAAGGGGGTTATTTTTTCGTTGTTGTTGTTCTTGTTGTTTTATAAGGCACGCGTGCACGCATTGATTCTTTTATACTTGGATGTATGCATGCAATGTGTGCTTTAGGCACAGTAATAGAAGGCATAGAGAGAGGCGTGGGGAGGGAAAGAGAGGGAGGAGAGTCCAGGCAGACAACACGAGGAATTGTTTGACTGCGCGCGGGAGGGTGGGGGACGGGTTTTTGCACTCTTCTCTTTTTATTATTTCTTTATTGTTGTTTTGTTGGCGTGTCTCGGTGGTGACTGCAGGGGTGACCCCAGAAAAAAGGAGAAGGAGGGAGAGAGAGAGAGAGAGAGAGAACGACGCCTTCGTACTCGTTCCTTTACGCACACATCCTTTTTTATTTTTGTTGTCCGTGACGTTGTGGCGTATTCTCGCCGTAACCACGACGCTGCTCACGTCAGATGATGGGGAAAAAAACGTAACATTTCTTTTCTGTTGTTGTTGTTTTTCTTCCCCTCCACCCACACACACACACACACACACCTTTTTTTTTTTTTTTTGTTATTCTTTTTATGTTGCCTACATGCGTGGGTGACTCCCCAAAGAGGGTTTGCCCGAAGCAAAGAAGAAGGTGTGTATCCGTTAGGGCACATTCTGCAGGATTCAGTCAGTTGGTTACGTCGATATACGAGGCATCATTGAAGGCAAAAAATAAAAAATAAAAATAAAAATGGACTTTCTTGACGAAGCCGTCATTTATCCTGTTACGGCGTTCATCCGCAACAGCCGCATGCTCGTGCGTAAATGCCAGAAGCCGAACTACAGCGAGTTCACCACGGCGGCAATGGCGACGCTGATGGGATTTGTCATCATGGGATTTCTAGGATTTTTTGTCAAGGTCATTTTCATTCCAATCAACAACGTCATCTTGGGAGCATAAACCGCAAGGAAAGTACATGACATGGAAGGCGGAAGGAGAGGGGCATAATTTACCCAAGACATGATGTCCATATATATATACATATACATATATACAAACACGGAAAGAATACACGTAATGTAGATGTATATATAACATGTATGAAGAAGATACAAGGGAACCGTATATGTATATATATATATATATGTAGGAAGGGGGGATGGTTGTGTGTGTGTGTGGATAGATGGATGTTTTGGTCCGAAATATTTATTTAACTGTGCGTGAGGACAGACGCATCTCCTGCATGAACTTCACCATTCTCCCTCTTTTTCCCCCTCTTCATACATCTCTTCTGCACTACTTTCATGATTTATTTATTTTATATAAACTGTGCTTCACACTGATACTTTGTGTTTGTGTTTCTTCTTAAATTTATTTTTTCTTCTAAAATGTGGACGGGATAAAACCGTCACTTGTTCTATTGGGATCCCCTTACATCCCCTCAGTATTATTATTATTATTATTATTATTATTATTATTATTACCATTTTCTTTTATAAATGGACATGACACTTCTTTCTTTTTGACTGATATTGGCTGGGGGAATATATAAAGGTGGATTAGAAGGGTGGTGGGAGAGGATTCTTTCCCGCTGGTGTGAAATGGCGGCGATCAAGCGTTCACTGAACGTTGGTGTGGTTGGTATGGGCAACATGGGTGTTCCCATCGCCCGCAATCTTGGCTTCAAGGCCCGTAGTGCCATGTACCTTCAGATACATAGCCGGACACTTAGCAAAGCTCGCCGTGTATGCGATGACCTTTCGGTGGATGGTGCCTCATGCGCCATGCGGATTCATGATCGATATTCAACCATGACCAAATGGTGTGATGTGTTGCTGTTGGCATTGGCTGATGTGCATGCGGCACGACATGCTCTTTTGGAGGACAGTGAGGCACTCATTCGCAACGCACGCAAGGGTCAGATCATCGTGGATCACACAACGGTGGATATTGACACTTCCCGCGAGTGTGCATACGAAGCCGAGAAAAGGGGTGCGTACTTTTTGGATGCCCCAATGAGTGGCAGTCCGCGCGCCTGCTTTAATGCTCAGCTGGTGTTAATGGTTGGAGGCCACGCAGAGTCGTTTCAAAAAATGCTGCCAATATTTCACATGTATGCTGATAATGTCCATCACATGGGCGGGAGTGGCAGTGGATCGGCGACCAAAATGATCACACAGGCCCTCGTTGCTTCCCACAACGCGGCTGCGGCAGAGGCGTTGATTATGGCACACCGATTGGGCGTAGAAGACCAAAAAAAACTGGTGCAGGTGCTGGACGCCTCATGGAGCTCCAGTACGATGCTGCGCCGCAATGCAGCGTTGCTGCAGGACCTTATTCGTAACCCCGACAAAGCCCCACCCACATCCACCGCCAGCGTGGACCGACTGCTAGAGGACCTTGCTCTGCTTGATGCATCGCTACCAAAGAGAACGGGAACAACGAACTCCTCTGAAAATACAGATACCGATGAGCCCTATCCTGTCTTGGACACGGCGCTTCGCTCGCTGGCAGCCGCTTCCGATGCAGGGATGGGTGATCGGGATATCGCTACCGTTGTGCATTACGTTCAGGCGGGGGAAGTGGAGCTACGCAACCGCCGTGTGATGAATTTTGCGAGCGCTGACAGCATGGGGCGAGGCGAGGCGGTATGTGGGGGTGCGGCGGTGGAGAACGCGGAAACGGAGCCTGTGGAGTTTGGAAAAGAAGACTTTTACTAGCGAGTAAAGCAAAGTGGGGAGGAGTGGGTTTTTACATTGTTTAGCTAAATATTAAGGAGAATGAGCGTGTTGTAACTGATGGTTGGTTGGCGCTTGTCTCATTTTATTTTACCTGGGAGGGAGGGAGGGAGGGAGGAGGGGGGCCAAGTGACTGAGCTTCCACTTTTCTGTGTGTGTTTGTGTGTGTGTGATGAGCCGATTTTTGATTCCGTTGCTGTTGACTGCAATAAATAAGAAGGGTGGTATAGGATATATATATATATAGGGGGAGGGCAGAAAGATATGGAGAGCGAAGCCGCTGGCTTACTTCGTACCGCAGCTCTTGAAAGGCACATGCAATCCATCCAGCAGAGTGCGCCTGCTGCACGCATCAATCGCGCTCAGTGTGTGCTGGTTGCCAGTTGTCTCCGGAAAATCTTTAATATATTGTCGCGCCTTCCTGATCCATCACCCTCGCTGCAGTTGTTAACTGTCTTTTCGTCCGCCGACATGCTGGTTCAGGAAATGAGCTGTGAGGGGTGGGAACAGACTTTGCAGAGTCGTTTCACCTGCAGTGACTCCTTCACGGGACTCTTTGGGCGCATGAGGAAGGCCTGGCGACTTCACTCCACGACAACGTGGGAATGGGAGCACAAAAACGCCATCCGTGAAGATGAATTGTCAAATGCCTCCAAGTACGTGCAGCTCCTACGGAGTGGTGTGCTGATCTCAATTTTCCGCACGGCCGAAGAAAAAGAAAAAGGAAAAAAAAGAGGTGCGTCGGTAAACGAGCCTGAGGCGTCAGAGGAGCAGGTGATTTGTGCCTTCCGTCGGCACCAGTTCGGTAGCTGGAAAATGCCCTTTGAGGAACTTACACCACCCGTCGGTAGTGCACATGACGAGTTGGTAAAGTCGGGGAATGCGTTTCTTTTATTTGATGTGCACAGCGGCTACCGCTACAAGGGTACAGCTGTACGGTTGCATGAACTCGAGGAAAATAACGGGCGGCTTATTTCCCCTGAAACCCACACGGCGTTTGTGCAGGACATGGTTGTCCGCGCCACTTGGTCCCATCCAAATATAGTCCCTTTTATCGGGGCCTTCACGCAGAAAATGTCGACACACGACGGTGACGCCTTTGTGGCGTCTGTGACACCCACACCGGCACTTGGAGTTATCATGAGAGATGTGACGGGCTTTACAGTGCAGTCTGTTGTGAATGACAATGTCAAGGCCTCTGTCGCCTCGTACATAGTTTGTCCATCGGGCAGCCGCAAGGACGTGGCGACGTACGTTTCCCTGCATGAGCTTCTCTTCGTTCAGCGTCGACGGTTCACGCTTCGAGAAGCCCTCGGCATCACCCTTCAAGTAGCGGAGGCGCTTCAATATATTTTAATGGACGAAACGCAGGTGCCCTCTGAAGTGGCTGCGGCGTGGATTGTGGTATCGCCGTCGAACATTTTTCTCTGCCCCATTCCTCCTACCGGTGAGACGAGGATGGCGGCGGGTCCCGAGAGGGGGCGTTCACCGTCGTGCTGGGAACAGGAATGTACCGTGGAGAACAGGGAGATGGAGGAGGGACATGTGAGATTTGTTCATATGCCAGCCACTGGGGCTTTTGCGGTCATGTACGCGCCTCCCGTGTATGTTGAGGGCAGCCCGTTCAGTCGCTGGCAGTCACATCCACATGCCGCCAACCCAGTCACTTATGCCCTCATCCAACTCTTCATTGCACTCATCAGCAATGAGCCTCCGTATCGCCTCTTGGGGCGACAGAAGGATCTCGCCGCGCGTATTTTTAAGGCAGCAGAGACGATGGATGGAGAACACGATTCTACCACGTTGGATGATGAAGCGGCGGATGCTTTGCCGTTTGTGAAAGTGAGCATTCCAATAGGAAGTGTCATCCCGGCAGGTCTCCCGGCGGAGATGCGGCAGCTCTGTGAGCGCGGCTTACTGCTACAGCACCCGTCTCCGGAAAGCACGAGGAACGGCCTCACACTGGAAGAATTTTTTGGTAGGATGCACGCGATGTGGGAGAATGCCGCCGATGTGCCTGTCGCGTTGACGGAGCAGCGGTGCTACGAGATCACAGGGGACAGCCCCGGTGTGTCGCAGAGCGATGAATTTCATTCATCATTTGAAATGGTGTCTTTTCGGACATTGCTGGATGACTACGGCGATCTTTCCCAGTGATCGCATGACTGAACCTTTTCGACTATAACGCGTTCACACGGTGTAAAAAGATCCAACACGATATACATGGAAAGAAACACACAAGCCCCCATGTTTTTTTTTTTTTTTTTTTTTTTTTTTTTTTTTTTTTTTTTACCCTCCTCCTCTTTCACTTATTTATTCCCTTTCATCTTCTCCCTCCTTTCTCACTCCACTCAGCTCCATGTGCGCAGTCTTCATGTTGACATGTGTCACTTGACAAAAAAAAAAAAAAGAGGGGGGAGGGGAGAAAAGATGAATGTGAAGGGGGATGAAAAGTGAAAGAAGAGGAAGAAGATATATATACACATCTTGTTTGATTGCAAGCGGATTAGCGAACGGAAATATAACAAAAAAAAGTATGGGGGATGGCAGTTTTTTTGTCTTTTTTTTTGGGGGGGGGGGGGGTCTTCCGTGTATTTATGTATATGTGTACTTGTATGTTTCCTTTTCCCTGTGTGTATGTCTGTGAGAGGCTGTAGGTCGAGGGATTTATCCTTTTTTTTTTTTCTTTTTTCTTTTTCTTTTCTGCTTCCTCTTTGCCTATCGCCAGGTCGAAGCCACGTGTAGGGGCAACTTCCCTTTTTACATGACAGGGATAAGAGGGGAAGCAAAGGGGTGTGTTATTCTGTTTGCAAATTGTGGCGCGGATGGCCACCGTGGATCGGACTCCCTCGACGAAGAGCCTGACGGATTTGCCAAAAGACGCCGACTCTGCCGTCTCTAGTTTGCTTGACGACGACGATGATGACGCCCGCACACGAATCTCCCCTGATGGGCAGGTGGCACCTCGAGGTTCGAGGAGAAGTACTGCGGCCTCCCCCGCCAGCAGTGGAGCGGCACAGGACGTCTTCCGCTGCCCCTCAGAGGCGGTGGTGTCTCTTGAGCAGCACTACCTCACCACAGTGCAGCAGTTAGAGAAAATAAAGCGCATGTACCATCGACTCGACACCCACAACGACGATCTGGAGGATTCCTTTGTTGTGCTTCGCGATCGACTGGACGCCTTTCGCTCATTTGTTGTCGTTCGTCTCAGCAGGACCGCAAAGGAACTGCGTGGGGAGGTGCGTTTTTTGCGAGACACGGTCTTATTTCTGATGGAAGATTTTGCGGAAAACTTGCGTCGGTGTGGGAGGCATATTATCTCCCGCGTCAAGCACGCTGGTGGGGCGAGTGAGCCACCATCGCTGCCGCTGGGACCGTTTCATCTCGTACCTGCGAGTGACGTTCACCACAACCATCCAAACTCCTTCTGTGTGCATGGCAATGTGAACACCATGAATACTGATCCAGAGAAGAGAAAACAAAGTGGTTTGCTCTCGCGGGAGGCACTTGTGCGCAGCCCCCGTTCCCCTCGCTCGGCTTTTCCGGCCACTCCTGGCTCTATGGCGGAGCTACGGGGAGCTCTGGACAAAGCACTGCGGAAGCAAGAGCATCTGGAAGACAAATTTATCCGGCAGCAACAAAGTTACGAAAAACACATTCAAAGCATAAAGGATTTGCATGCGCAAAAGGAGCGCACCTTGCGGCGACGAATAGAGTTACTCGAGCGCTTTGTTAGACGTGATGTGTCCGGCGAGAACTTCACTGACGACAGCACTAGGAGGGATGGCGATGATGACGAGTTTCATGAGGCCGGCAGCAATGGAAGGTCACCACATTCGTCAAAACTGTTTAGGAGAGATTTGTTTGCTAATAAAAATCATGGCGTGGATCCGCGGTTAAGTACAAGTAATGCGCTTAACTGCACGTCACGTCGATCTCGTCTTTCGATAGAGCGAACCCCACCGGGGGAGGCGGATGCACTTGGCGAGGAGTTGTGCAGCAAACGTGAGGGCGAGAAATCGGGCGGGTGGGGCGCCCCTTCGTCCGTGTACGCGATGGCTGCCGGTGAGCACGCAAGCACGGCGTCCGATGGAAATGGTGTCAGTCGTCGCGCTCATCGTTCTCCCCGCAATGAAGGCCGTCCGCGCCAGCGTTTCTCTGCGCCGGGTGAGGCGGCGGCGGCGATGGAGCCGTGGACACTGGGACACGATGTGGAGCGCCGTGTGCGGTCGCAGATGTTGTCGGGTGGCCGTAAAACCCCCTACGAGGGGAGATGTTGTAGGCACTTTTCCCCCACATCAAGGCGGGAGGAAAAGGAACTGGAGGCGGCGGCGGCTCGTTTGTTGGATGTTGTGTCCGATGCATACACAGCTCAAAACGATCAACACCAACGGCAGCGTGAGCATCCACGCGTAAAAAGTGGCGTTTGTGAGGATGACGTGGTCAGTCGACTGTATTACCTGCGGCGACCACCACCCAGGCGTCCTGGCACGAAAACATATCTCTCTCCCGTACCCAGGAGCGGATCAGTGCCTCGTCCTGAGAAGTTTTCGGACGTCTCCACAGTGGCGCGTGGGCTGTGGGCGGAGAAGTTGCTGCAACAACGGGCCACCCAGCGGCTGAGCTGAGAGGACGAGAGGAAGTGCACATTCCATGTATTCTGTCCTTTATATATATATATATATATGCGTGTGTTTGTGCGTTTCATGTATTTTCAATCATGATTATTGCATTGACCTTCTGTCATTGTATGGTTTCCGCTGCTAGTTACGCTCCATATGTCTGTATCCTGTTTTTCCTGTTCTTGCTGATGCTGATTTTTTAATGTATGCACATACGCATCCATTATACATTGATATGTGTAGGCATTTGTGTGTGTGTGTGTGTTTGTGTGTGCCTTTGAAAATTCCCCATTGATAACTGGGATCTTTTCACTCTTTTCATTGTGCCCCTCTTTCTTTCTTTTTCTCGATTTATATATCTGCTTCTTGTGCTTCACTGACGGCGTTGCATCACATTGACAGGGAAGAGGAGAGAGCCGGATGTTGTCCCTAACGATGCGTCGTGTGGCAGCAACAACAACAACAAAAACAGCTGCGGCAATAATCATGCCATCGTGCCTGGGGACGAGAGTGCGCGGGATGAACGCCACCTCCCTAAAGACGATTTGCAGATGTGGCACCACGACCCGAGTTGCGCTTGCTGGAGTTAAAGGGCAAACTTACTCACGTTTAGGAATGGATGGATTTACAGACGTCAAGTACAACAATGCGGCAGATTTGTTTTTGGAACACGTGGAAAATGTTCTGGAAAGTGTTGACAGCAGTGCCATTGAGGAAGTAAATCTTTTGGGTGGAGTCCTCTCTGTTGAGACGGTGTCGAGTGGAACTTTTGTGCTTAACAAGCAAGCGCCGAATGTGCAGCTGTGGCTCTCATCACCCGTCTCCGGGCCGCACCACTACGACATGGTCCTGCCGGCTGGGAAAGACAGAGTGGAGGGGGTGAATGATGTACAGTGGCTTGCTGACAGCGATGGACACTCCCTAAAGGAGAAGCTGGAGAGGGAGTTAACGGAGACGCTGGGAGTGGAAGTGAAACTTTAACGGTGGGGGGAAGTGAAGAAGAAGAAAAAGAAAAGTAAGGGACGAGCGGTGGGGAATGTACAGACGGAATTGATCGCAGAGCATCGGATTTGCCGCTTCCCTGCCAGAGGGTTTTTTTGTGTGTGTGTGTGTGTGTTTCTGTGTACGCACTGCAATGACGTTGCATCTGTGGCGTGGGTTGAAGGACAAATCTGGCGAAGGCAAAGATGCACATGCCGTGCAGGTGCCAATGACGTGAGTTAGCCGCCGCGCCACTGTGGACGGGCATGACGGAAGAGAGTTGTTTGTGACAAACACACACACACACACACTCTCTCTCTCTTTCTTTCTTTTTTCTCTCTTTTTTTTCCAATGCAGTTCCTGCTGTTGTGTTATATTTGTATGATTAGTTCCCATCCAAACCACTGCCACCACTATATCCCCACATGTTTTCATTTACCCTTTTTGGTTTGTTGTTGTTGTTTCTTTTTTATTTTATTTGTTTTTTTTTTTTGCCGTTGTTTCACACGCACGCCAAAATCACAACGGCCTGCAACCCCCAACACCACCACCATACATACACACCGCCTGCCAATATATTAATATAATAGCGGTACTGGGGTGTAGTAGTGACCGTAGTAGCAGTCCACTCTTTCCGGCACCAGCGCTCCGCTGCGACAGGGACATCTGGGAACGGGGGGCACTACAAAATTAACCACAAGGAAGGAACTTGTGGCAGGAAGGAAGGGGAAAAAAAAGAAAAAAGAAAGAGAGAAGGAGGGGGGCGAAGAAGCCACACAAAAAAGAAAAAAAGAAAAAGGGGGTGTTTGAAGTGAGGGAATGATAGTCGAAAGCCATTTGGAGGTGGACGAGCACCACAACGCACCGAACGGACCCATCGAAGAATCCAACAGCAAACACACACCCGAGTTGCACGATCTGTCCAAGGAGGGAAGCGATGTCCCACTGACAGGCACGAGTGGTAACGGCGGATCGGCGCCCGCGCGAGTTTTATCGCCGCGTGCCCAATCTGCAGAAAGCGGTGCAGGAGATAACGGCAAAGCGATACCTGCGCCGCGGCAACCCTCCGATGACGAGGTGCAGAAGACCCCCATCCGAAAGGAGGAGGCGCCAAAAAAGGCAGACAGCTCTGCGAGAAGCTTCTCGGATTGCGGTTCGGATCCGCCCGAGGCCGCGGCGATGGCCCCTGTTCCTACGCCGCAGCCGTCGGTGAATGCGGCAGCGGTGACGACATACAAGAAGACATTTGAGGGCAGTCAATGGGCGTCTTTGCTTTCTTCCATGCACGACACCATTATGCGGACGTTGCTAAACGAAGTCTCAAGGGCGACAGGACTACCGGATACGAAAATCCGTGTTGTTGAGATGAAAATGGAGGGGGATTCAACACTTGTTACGGAGATTTCTCTGTTCCATGACTCCACCAAGTCGGCGGAGGATATGGATCACGCTCTGAATGCCTATGCCTTTGAGGGGATGAAGCAACTGCTGGAAATGAGGAGCTTCTCTGAAAATTGTCAACCCACAAACCATAACGTCACTCTGCAGGGAAAGGCAACACTCTCTAAAGGCAAAACTGCTGCTTCTGCGGACGAAGATGATAACGTTAATGGAGTGAAGAAGGATAGCCCGAGCGGTGTGCATGTTGCTTGCTTAAACGCTGCGGACGAGGCAGCAACGAGTAATGAAGAGACAGTGGCGGAGAACACTCATCCAACAGGAAGTCCGAAAAAGACGGGTGTCGTGATGCGGGGAAAAGTGCATAGGGACGAGGCCAGAACGAAGAAAACGCCTTCCCCAACACCAGTGAAAAAAGGGCTGAAGAAGCAGAAGGTGGCACAGAGGGGCAAATCTCCCACTGAAAAGATGGAGACTTCTCCGCTGAAGGGAAGTACGCCAAGAAGAGCCCTCACACCACGAGGAGTGACAACGTCATACACAGAGGCAAACACACCAAATGGACCATTCACGCCTAGAGGGGCGGCAAAATCATACGCAAGGGCAAGCACGCCAAACGTGAGGCGGTCCGGCAAGGGGTTTCTTCCGTTCTCAAGCAAATTTATCACCACATTGTCTCCTCATGCCGCGCGCTTGCAATATTCTCCTCGGCCTGTTGGCCGTCCGCGGACAGCAGCTGCAGCTGAGCGTGAAACACCGCGGCGTCGCGCATCAGCGCGAGCCTCTCCGTTGCGCACGTACTCTGCATCGCGAGGAAGAAGTTCCGAAGGGCCAGCCAGTGTCTCCAAGCAGGTTGCAAATACAGCTGACTCCAGTGTTATCAAACGGCCAAACGGTGTTGTCAATCGCGGTGGTGTGCGTCCAATTCCACCCCAGCGTGTCATTCGTGTGGGTCTCCCGACCTTTCCGCGCACCCCACGAGTGAGTGCAGTGGCAGTCTCGTCTCTCCCTGAGGCGCAGGAGTATGGAGAGGCTGAGGGTTTTGTCGGCACCGACCACGCGGCGTCTACTCCCGTCGAGGCGCCTCCAGTGCACGAAAACGATGGTGAGCCTCACGAAAAAGTTGCAGCCATGACACCAAATTCGGTGGGTTTCGAGCAGTAGTAAAAAAAAAAAAAAAAAAGAGAGAGACGAGAAAAAAAAAAAAAAGAAAACATTGGCCGCTTGAGAAGACATCCCGGTCTCTTGCAAAAAATCGCTCTCTCCGGTGGTAAAAACACGGGTTAGGAAAGCGTCTGCTCCCCGCGTTTCCCCCCACACACCAGGAATAGAGTCGCAACAGCGCAATTACTCTTTTTTTTTTTTTACGCAAAAAAAAAAAAATGAATACAAAGAAACAACAACAAAATAATAAAAAAAAAAGGAAAAGAAAATAAATAAATAAATAAATAAGTAAATAAATAATGGTTGCTGGCAGGGCTGCTTGTGATCAAAGGGTTTTGTTTGTTTGTTTTGTGTGTGTGGAGAGAGAGAGAGAGAGAGAGAGAGAGAGAGAGAGGAGGCAAATTTTTAATACCACCCGTTGTTCCCGCGCGCCACGGGGGTAACGAAGTGAAAACTAAAAAAAAAAAAAAAAAGAAGTAAAAAAGGGAGAGACATAAAATTGATGTGGTGGCATTTAGCGAGAAGAATGGGTTTTTGGGTCGTATCGCCTTTTTTTTTTTTTTTTTTTTGGGGGTGTG